GGGAGGGAGGGAGGAAGAGGGAGGAACAGATGTTTGATCAGATGTGGGAAGCGGGGAGAATGAATAAATGTAAATTTGGGCAAGTGTTTGCAAAGAATCGTTGATCTTGATCTCATGCTACTCCAGATTCTTGACGCTGTCTCGACTTGATTTCCTTTCGCTTCCATCAGCAACACAGAGCTTGCAGCAGTACGAGCCTACCTTCCTCCTCTTTCGCCGAATCTTCTCGATTCTCTTTTGCTCATTGATGGCTTGTATCCTCTGCAAAGGATCGTGTTATTGTAGGCAAGGGTTTGCAGTGCTAAATCATCACCTCCACCATCAACAGCGCACTCCTCTCTGCAGCATCTTGGTCATTCTGCAACGATCCCTTCCTTTCTTCCTGCCTTTCTGCCTCAAAGCCTCTCCAGTCCCCTCTGCACATCATTTTCAGATCCTCACATCGCAACTCTCGCATAACAAGAGAAGTTTCCTGCGGTTGTTGTCGTAGTCCTTGACTTGATTGCATATCTGCAAGTGGATCACAAGTTGAGGAGATTGGAAATGCAATCAAAATGATCTTTCACCTCTTGCCGGAAATCGTTTTGTTGTAACATGTGCAAGTTTGTCTTGTCGTTGATGGGAGTCACTGCAAAACAATGTATGTGACGCTTGGAGGCAACAAATCATGAACTAAACAAGTGCATCTGAGATTTTGATGAAGTTTGTTTCAGATGTTGATGAAGCACAAACCAGTCGACAATCTGAGTTTGGTTGAGAGAAGAAGAAAATGGTGGATGGAAGTAACAATACAAGTAAACGGTGTGGAACAACAGGCATATCAGCTTCAAAATTTCTCACATCCTGGTCTTTGTCTCCTTCCGCCGACATCTTGGTACATCCAGTCCAACCTCCCATCATGCTCGATTCCAGCCTGACGTAGCCGCATGTGCTTGAGCCTTGAGATCTCTCTTTCTTCCTGAATCTGCAACAAAACATTCAGAGTTGTGGTTGATCAGACTAGTTGCCATCGTCTATCCCTAAATCCATTTTAATCATCATCAACACCACCACCTCCTTCATTGTCATCATCATCATCATCATCATCATCATCATCGTCGTCGTCGTCGTCGTCATCATCATCATCATCATCGTCAGCATCATCATCATCATCATCTCCATGTCCATCATCATCATCATCACCACCACCACCACCACCACCACGACAACCACCACCACCATCGTGATCATCATCGCGATCATCATCGCCATCATCATCATCATCATCATCGTCTGCATCAGTAGTATCGTCTTCTCCATCATCGTCGTCTCCATTGATCTCCATCATCATCATCATCATC